AGTAGCTTCCATGTCATTTTCCATGTGATTATCTGTCTTGATTCTCCATTACAGTAGTTTCCATTTCATTTTCCATTATCCCAATATATAACCCCAATATAACCCTAATATATACCCTATTATACTCCAGGATTATCCTGGCAAAGATGACTGGCGTTTCAGAAGAGCGAGTCCAACAAGCAGAAGACCTGATGAATGAGCTTGTCGTACCCTCTGAGGAGACTCGGGCAATCTACAGCTTTCAGATAGTCACCCATGTGTACTACTTAAACTATACTCTAGGCGCCCTGACTCTAATCCCCACAGTTTAGATGGGATATTCTCCATAAAAAGCTAGATGGGACCCCCAATTGCATTTGTAATCTCCACATATCCCTAGGACCTAAGGCTTAGGTACTGCAATCCGCCAAAAAATATCGAGGAGCATGGCCGCTCATTCTACGCCCCGGCCCCGAAGACGGAGACGGAGAGCAAAGCCGAGGAGGCGCCAGCGCCGATACTGGGCCCCCAAGCAATAGGTGCTGTTTTTTCGCGGTTGTGAATGTTTTTTCCAGCTGCATTTGGGTAGGCTTTGGGGGTTGAGAGGTCACCCAACTAAGTTGCAATGGTTCAAGGCAAGCTTTCAAACAGCTTGCTTTGGAAGCCCTTTTGGCAATGTAGGCCCGCCATCGACTACTCTTCCCCTCCTCAGCCACTGAGGAACCCCAAGTCCCAAACCGAGATCCAAGGAAAAAGAAGAAGAAGAGCTGGGCAGGTCTTCTGAACACAGGCCCCAAGTATGCCGGCCGAAATCGCGAGGACTGATGGCTGTGCCTGCTTTGGAGGATGTTCAGGGAAGGCTGACCCCAATTTTGTGGTTCATATCAAATGAAACCCTTTTTTGCGATGCGTCGCCTCGGGGATCGTGGCAAGAATACGATAGAAAAGGGGAGGTGATGAAGGTCATGGTGGTTGGTGTGATGGTCTTCTGGGCCTTGTGCCATCAGAGGATATCTGGAGGTGTATCCCAACTTAAAATACCGGATACCCATAGCTCTGCTGAACTATCGGCTTATCACCGCCTAGGAACCCCTGGTATACATGACTGACAATATGGTAGTTTCCCAAA